CTCTCTCTCTGCTTCTTTTTGGATAACTTACGTTGCAATGTGTTGGGGTTCACTTACCTTTTGTCTGAAGTATCTAATCTACTCTCAATCCCATCCAGGATCTTTTTCATTTTTCATATTTTTCATCACTAAAAATTCTCTCTCAAATTCTAAAAATTCTATTCAAGTCTTTTTTACTTCTATTTCTCTCCTCATTGCATTGATACTTTCTTTATCTTTTTATGTGTTTGTCTTTTGGGTTTTTTGGTTGTCTTGTTTGTTTTTAAGTTTTTGCCATAGGGCGCATGTACTCATTGGACAGATGCAGAGACGTAAGAGAAAGTGAGAAATCACGCCATGGGTGGATGGCCACACCGCAATTCCTTCTCCTCCAGTCTCCTTCCAAGATATTGGGCACACACGCCAGCATAATTTCAAGCTGCCAGTCTGGGACTCAAACTGAGGTCAGCTATGTGGAAGTCTAGCACCTTAACCACCACACCAGCTGCTGCCCTCTTTCTTCATCTCCTTAAGCCTATGAATGGGGTATATTTAGATAGCTGGCTTAATTTTCTTGTCATTGAATCTTTTGTATAATTTCTGGGTCTGCTTTATTGACTGCCTTTTTCTCCTTGTTATGGGCCCATTTGTTTGCCTGTTTTGTTTATTTGTTTTTTTGTTTTTTGTTTTTTGTTTTTTGTTTTTTTTTTACAGAATGCTTCTAGATTTGTTTGTTTTTTTTTTTTCTTTTTAAGAAGCAATGGAAATACTACAAACTATTTCCTTAAAAACACTGACGATGGAGCTCTGCTAAGGCATCTCAATAGTCCAAAAAAAAAAAAAAAAAGGTTTATTTGAGAACAGGAGTGAAAGCTTTTGTACATCTGACTCTGACAAGATAGACTAGTTTTTAGAACAGACAGCATCCATATTCAGCCCTTCCAGTATTCTCACAATCTGAACTTTTTTTTTCCTTGCAAACACATAGACATAAGTAAGAACAACTAAATATAGTCAAAGGAAGGTGAGGTCCCAAATCTTATCCTTGTAATGGAAGATCTTGTTACGTATCCTATGATGACATACAGTGAATGAATGTAAATAAAAATAAAGAGGATCTGAATCTAACAGTTCTGTCTCTGCTTAGATGATGCCCGAGTCTGGAGGTGAGAACTCTGGCATCTGTGCACTTCTAAGCTTCCCAGCTGCTTCGCCCGGGCGGCCATAGTATCCCGCCACTGCACCAGAGGTAGGGGCCGCTTACCAACAACGCCTTGCCCATCAAGCCCTGAAACACAGGGCTCTCACCAATGCTCGCTTTCATTTGGCTCAGGAACTCCATGTATTAGCAGTTTTTGTGTAATGTTGAGCCTTTCCATATGCCTTGGTGATTTTCAGAGCAATATTTAACCGGGAAAATACCAGCAAAGAGAGACAAGATGTGAAAAGAAATTTCCCATCAGGCACGATATGAATAAATAAGTGAAAAAGTGATCTCATGTTTAAGAGCAAAACATGAGAAGTCAAAACTTGCGAATTTTATTTATACCAAAGAATAAAACTATCTCCTATTAAAAAGATTATCTTGGAAACCAGCAGTTAGCATAATGGCTATGTCGCTGGACTCCCATGTAGTCGACCGCAGTTCATGTCCCGGACCCGGTGGCTTAAAACTCACACCGGGCGCGTGTGCGTGCGTGCGTGCCCAAGATCCCGAGAGGAGAATGGAGGAGAAGGGATTGCGGCGTGACCATCCCCCCTGGGGGGTGAGTTCTCGCTTTCTGTCTCTATGTCTCTCTCTGTCTGTCTGGCGAGCGCACGCACCCTACAGTGAAAATCTCTCAAAAAAAAGATTATCTTAAACTTATTTTTTAGACTTTCCCGTTCCTTGAACATGAAACTGCTTCTATCACAGAAAGATTCATGATGAGGAGGGTAATTATCAAATAAACACTTTGCCTTCCCCTTGTAAAAAAAAAAAAAAAAGGAGTCAAGTTCCCCATTTTACTTACGATAAACCAGATTATTTTCAGAATATTGGCAACTGCAAGAAACAGATGATCAGACAGGTCAGCGGGAAGTTATGATCTGTACAAAAGCATTACAGAAAGCTCCAAAAGAAAAATGAAATGGTAAAAACGACATTAAAAAAAGAATATTAAAACACAAAACCAAATAAGAAAATGCCAGCCATCTCCAGTCTCCATGTAAAATGATGCGTTCTACTTTCAGCATGAAACAAAAGCAGAGAACATTTCTAGATGTGAAACTGGTGCCAGACAAGAAGGCAAAACGCAGTTAGCAACTCGCTGGGATTCTAATCATGTCTTGGTCTTCCTGCAATTCTGGTCCTAAAAAGGACACAAAGTAAATGATTTGACGTCTTACAGAAAGGACTTGTCACCAAGTGTTGGACAAACTACTCAGGCTCAGCTGGGAGAGCAGGGATGTACGACACTCAGTTGAGGGATGTATGTGTGTGAGGTCAGAGGGGAGGAAGGCTCCACAGCCTGGGAGCTTCTGCACTAAGGAATCTTCTAAAGGTCAGCCCATGGTTTTTCCGTTTTACCTCAGACCAATCTTGTACCGGTTTTGTTTGTATCTTTTTTATTTCAATTTCTTTTATACGTTCAATCACATATGTCACTTAGCTTGTAAAGTGAATATTCCAACATGTATCCATTTCTCACAGTCCAGCTGAGAATACTATAGCTATTTTCAACAGGTAACAGCGCAATTCTTTGTCCCATGAATGCTGTGCCCGTTTTTATTCCTTCAGTTTTTATGGGTGCTGTGATGTCTCCCTGATAAAGTAGAAGCCGTAGCTTTGTAAGGTTTCACTCCCTGCACAGATTCATCCAGATCTCAGGGTCCTCCTGGCCCAGCTCCTCCTGGGCTACAGAAGCCTGGAGAAGGGATCAATCTCTGCCCCACTTTCAGTTCTCTCTTTTCAATGAGCTGGTCCTGAAGCCGTAGTAAGATTTACTGAAGAGCCGCTCAGCTTCCTTGAATTTCTGGTTCATGTGATCACTCCTGCTATTGCAGTTTTTAACTTGGTCAGATCCCAGCCACGAATATTATTGCCGGACATCTGTGTGTCTTCCAGGTAGGTTCCTTCAAAAGCATAGATCTGGCTCTCCCCGTTGGCCAGTGTTTCCGCCAGCTCCACTTCGCGAGCTCCGGCTGCTCCGCTGGATGCCGGGGACCTGCTGCGGTGCCACCTTACTGCGCATCGCCATGTTAGGCTGAGACAGCCACCCCCAAGGCCGGCCGGGCTTTTTCCTACTTCTTGAGATGCCTGTTAACTTCGCATTGGTTGAAGGCATTACGCATGCCATGTTTTTGTTTTTGTTTTTTAATATTTTATTTCAATTTCTTTTATGCAATCACGTTATTTAGCTTGAAAAGTGAATATTCCAACATGTGCACTTTTCTCACCAGTCTAGTTGACAATACTGTAAAGTTATCTTCAACAGATAGTGACCCTTGGCATGCAGAACTTATATTCCTTAAAATTATGTTACTTTGTTTTGATATACTGTTATTTTACATCATGTGAACCTTTTAAGACTTGCTTCTGAGCTTTGTTAGGGTAGACCCAGAGTAGCCACTACTGTGGGGCTACGCGTGCCCCTGCTAATACTGCCCCCTAGTAGGGACTCTGCCGGTGTCCCATGAGTTACATTGTCTTGCACTCACAGACACACAAGCTTCCTTTCACCCTGTGTGAATTCACCTATGTGAATTCTTAGCCCTGTCCCCCACTCACCAAGACTGCCAGGCTATGTCTGGGTTCTCCTTCCTGTGCTGCAATCTGGAAACCGCATTTTGTAACCGTCTGCTCATGGGGCTCATGTCGTTAATCCCCCTTCTCTCAGAGATCACAGCCCAGTGCTGCCTGTTTCCCATTGTCATCAGTCATGTGTCACATGTATTGTCTGCTTTTTTTTTTTTTTTCCCTAGAGATAGGAGAGTAAATTAGGTGTCTGTCATTGCATCATGATGAAAAGCAAAAGTCCAGTTTTGCCTGTTGGTACTTGCTAGGCTTTCTTCTTTTTGCCTCTGGCTTTTTGTTTTTTTCTTAAACACTGTTTGTGAGGACTAGCCATGTTTCAAAGAGCATTGGTCCATGCTTTTTAACTGCTATTTTGTAGTCACAGATCAACAAATTTTTATCCCTTGCAATGTGTACTAGGAACTGTACCAGGTTCTCTGGATGCAACTTTGATCAAGATAAGCACACGTGTATTTATCCCACTCTTGACAAGTACACAATCTACTGCAAGAGCCAATAAACTATAGCCCATTGGCCAAGCCTAGCCTGCTGTCTACTTATTAAATAAAGTTTTATTGGAACACAGCCATGTCCATTTACTTATCTATGGCTGCTTGCAACCAATGGCGACAGAACCGAGTAGTTGTGATGGAAACCATACAATGTACACAATCAAAGATATTTACTATCCAGCTCTTTACAGAAAAAGTTTGTTGCCCTTTGTTGGGCAAATACTAGTAACCTCTTACTATAACACAGTAAAAATGTGGACACTGTGACTCTAAAGGAATGACTTACCTAAACTTGTCATTTAAACCCAGATAGGTCTGATGGTGTGCTGGTAAATGTTTAAAAACCAGTTCTCAGTGCCAGCAGCTGGCATGGAGGTCAGTATGGCTGGATCTCACACAGCCAGCTGCACCATTCAAGTCCCAGACCCAACAGTTTGAAAAACACACCTGATGCATGTGTGCATGTGTCTAAAATCCCTAAAGGAAAATGGAGGACAGGTGACTACAAGCATGGCCATCTCCCTGGAGGGTGATTTCTCATTTTCCCTCTCTTTCCTTCTCTCTCTGATGAGCAAAGGCATCCAATAGCAAAACTAAAACAAAAAGCTCTCAAAAACTATGTGTACTAGACATTGAATCTTCGTTATAACTTATAAAGGATATGCATAACACAATTTATGTATAATAATAGTAAATATACTCTTATTAATAGCTTTATACAGTTCTAAGGTGTACTAAAAACATCACCATTTGCCTGAGCCTGGAGTGGAGGCAGTAGGGAGTAGAGATGGGGAATAGCTGCTCACATATCTGTATGAGGTTTCTTCCTGGAGCACTGAAAAGGTTCTAAAATTAGACAATGGTGATGGTCGTCATGCCTGGGAATACTGAGAACACTACTGAGCAGTTTTATACAGACACTGCGACTTCATATTTCTATGGATTTCCTAGTTCTGGACATTACACATGAGTGGAGTCAAACAGTATGTGGTCTTTGTGCCTGACGAGAGTCTTTATTGTGACTTCAGTGTACGTAATTGATTATCACAGCGTGCTTTTCCATTTTTGCTGAACTCTCGTGTCCATAGCCAAACAATGGTTGAATTTGATGATTAACTGTAGTTCCAACATAAATGTTTATTGATGTTTTCACCTATATTCAAGAGTAAAGAGTGAAACAATGGTGTCAGACTTTCAGTCATTCATGAATGTTATGAGCAGCTCTTCTGCTGATTAGAATAATAGGTTTCAAATACCAAAAGAGTATTTTTCTCAATACTTTGCACCATTCATAATGCGGTGGTTATGAACATAACACACTTTAAAGGTTAATTTTAGTTATTAACATTTGCCCAATCACTTTTTAAGTCTAGACTGAAGACAAGCAAGCTTTTTTCTTTTCTGTTGTTTTTTGCTTTTTGATACAGGGTCTCACTATGTTGCCCAGGCTGACCTTGAGCACAAGATACTCCTGCCTCAGCCTACTGAGTAGCTAAGATTATAGGATAGGCATGTGCCATCATACCCGGCTTCAAACTTTTTCTTAAAACTACTCAATTTTCCCACTGTAATATGAACATAGTGATAAACAATAACAACAAAATAATCAACAAAATAAATCAAGACCTGATTTTGATGTTGACTGACTCTGGGTTGTAAATACTCCCACCACTCCAACCAGAATTTCAAGCCATCCATGTGATATCACTGAAAGCAGAGTTTACAAGGGACACAGAGCAGCGAACCATTATAATCAATTATGATTATACTAATAGACATAAATAACCTCAATAACATAAAGAAACATGGCAAATAATTAAGAAATTATGGGTTTCACATATTTCTCACTTTGTTGTGAATATAATTTATATATCTTACATATATAAATTTATACAGTTAAAGTTTTTCTTAGGTTTTTGCCATAGGGCCCATGTGCTCACATGTGCTCACCAGAAAGAGACAGTGAAAGGAAAAGTGAAAAATCATCCCCTAGGGGGAATAGTCATGCTACAATCCCTTCTCCTCCATTCTCCTCTCAGGATTTTGAGCACGCATACCCAGCATATTTTTCAAGCCTCCGGGTCTGGAACTTGAACCATGGTTGACCATATGAGAGCCCAGCATTTTAACCACCTTAACCATGGCACCTTCTGGTCCCTATGTAGCTCAGATTGTTTAAGTAATGCTGTATTTAACATCTAATCCTCAAAGTTCCTGAAAACTTAACATTTAGTTCTAGTGAACTGATACAGGCCATCTCTAGTTCAACACTGGATCTGATTCTATAATCTGAGCTTTTAACTATTGATATATAATAGATCTAAGAACTAAAGCATGAGAGGAGGAATGTGCAAAAGGTCACCTACCTTAGGTACATTATCTCCCTCCTCATATAGGACATGAGTCAACTGGTGATTCTCTTTCCCCCGTTACATTGCCATTCCTTCTTCCCTTGATTCTCATTCTCTGCCCACACACATTCAAGCTATCCCATACTACAACACTTCCCTCACTAACTCTTACAACCAATCTCTCCCCTCCATTTCTACACCACCATTGATCCAGATGAGAGTGCTTGGCTCTCTCCAAAATTATAGCAATGGACTCCCAATTAATCTCAAACTTCAGTTTTCCAATACAGCTTCTATACTGCCTTATGAGGATCTTCTCTGATGGTAAAGCCACTTCCTTAAAAACCTTCAGGTGCTCCCCAGTACTTATGATATCAATTCACTGTTTTATAACCTGGCCTTCAGATTCCTTCATGATGTGGTTCCAATGCACCTCTCCCAAGACAGTTCTAAAACTTAATTTCAGGGGCCAGCAGATAGCATGGCAATTATGTTGCTAGACTCCCACATGGCCGACCGCAGTTCAAATCCTGGAACCACTGACTTGAAAATCATGCCAGGTACATGTACGGGCATGTCCAAGATCCCCAGTGGAAAATGGAGAAGAAGAGATTGCAGTGTTGCCATCCCCCGGAGGGAGTGATTTCTCACTTTCCCTCTCACTGTCTCTGTCTCTTTCTCTCTCCTGCAAGCTCATGCACTCTAAGGCAAAAACTTCTAAAAATATAAAACAAACAAAAAAATACTTCACTTCATGGGGGCCAGCAGGTGGGCATGGTAGTTAAAAGTGCTAGACTCCTACATAGCTAATTGTGATTGAAGTCTCCGATATGGCAGCCTGAAAACCATGCCAGGCGCATGTATGTGCATGCCCAACATCCCAAAAGGAGAATGGAGAAGGAGGATTTGTGGCATGGCTATCTCCCTGGGGATAATTTCTCACTTTCCCTCCCTCTCACTGTCTCTGGTGAGCACAAGCACACCATGGCAAAATCCTTAAAAAGAGAAGAAAAAAGAGACTATCCTCTTGTGTCATGATAGATGGTCTTTGCTATCCCTCTAAAGACATTTTATAAGGCAAAAATATTTACTATGTCTTCATCATGCTAATAAATGTTTTGGTTGTGAAATACCAATTCATGTTTTAGGTAACTAATGGTACTGTATTTTAATGAAGTGGTGAATACTGAATAGAATGATCTAAATAGATTTCACTGATGTGCAGAAAAAGTTAATACATGAATTTGGCTTCCTCTGTCTACTGATTCCTTTCTGCAATGTAAAGGAAACTATTAGTTAAAACAACAAAACACATGTATCTTTCTAATTAGTTTACCTAGTTATTCTAAAATTCACTGTCAACTAAAACAGAACAAGTATCCCCAATAAATTAGAGCAACGCTGTTTTGGGGACTTATTTTAAATTATAACCTAAAATATGAAACTATTATAACGTTGATAAGGCATAGATACTGCTACTTGATTTCAATTCTTTACTTATAAACATTTGACAAACACAAGGTGCCAGTCACTCTGCTAATTAATGTAAAGGTACTGACATGAGTAAGATATACTTTCCTTCCTTTTCATTTCCACTTCTAACACCCTACTCCAGGACCTGGTCACATCAGGAAGATTGCAGTTTCTTTCCAGCTAAGGTATCTAATACCCCACATCTTCCTCTTCAACTCACTCTGCATGCTATAGTTTTATATTCCTAAAATACAACTTTCCCAATGTCACTTCCATGTTCGGAAACTTTAGTGCCTCATTACAATAAAGCACAAACTTCTTACCTGTCCCTCCTAAGTCCTCAGCGGTGAAGCTCTTTTTGACCTTGTCTCCCACTAGATTTATTCTCACAAGTAGTCTTTGTCCATAAATATATTTTTGGAATTGGTCCACTGTCTTTTTATGCATACTATTCTTTTTTGTCAAGACTACTCTGCAACCAAAGAAACCTTTTCATCCTTCTAGGACAAAGCTATATTCAATTTTTCACCTTACCGCCATTATCCATGGGATCTCACCAGCTTCTGGCTGCTATCCTTTGATCTGTACTCTAATGTGTACTCTGTATGGCAGAATTAGTATGGAGTATCAACTATAAAACTGTATCAGCCAGGCCTCTGTCAGAAATACAACTCAAGAGGTCAGCAGATAGCATGATGGTTAAGACACTGTTTTTCCACATGGTCAACTGCAGTTTGAGTCCTGGACCCAGTGGCTTGAAAATTATACCAGGCACGTGTATGTGTACATGTCCAAAGTCCTAAGAGGAGACTAGAGGAGAAGGAATTGCAACACAGCCAGCTTCCCTGGAGGGGGAGGATAATTTTTCACTTTCCCTCTTTCTGTCTCCCTCCATCTCTCTCTGGTGAACACACACACACCCTATGTCAAAAACCTAAAACAGAAAAAGAAAAAAAGAAATGCAACTTAAGCAAGCTTTGACAAAAAATATATTTATTGAAAGAATACTGGAGTGATTTATGTTATTGAAGGATTGGGCAATCAAATAGAAAAGCGAGAGATGTAGCTGAACTTCAAGACCAATTTAATATAACAAACTTAAATTACAGGAAAAATTAAGAATAACATATGAAATAGCACCATTCATTTCATTAACCACTGTAATCAAACTTGTTTTAAGTAAATAAGGAGAGTAATACACCACAAAAACCATGTGGTCCATCAACTTTTTTTTTTTTTTTTTTTTTTTTTGGAGAGGTTTTTGCTATAGGGTGCATGCGTTCGCCAGACAGAGACAGACAGAAAGAAAGCAAGAAATCACCCCCCGGGGGGATGGTCATGCCGCAATCCCTTCTCCTCCATTCTCCTCTTGGGATCCTGGGCTCGCACGCACACGCGCCCAGCGTGAGTTTTAAGCCACCGGGTCCGGGACACGAACCGCGGTTGACTACATGGGAGTCCAGAGACATAGACATTACGCTAACTGCTGGTTCCCAGGTCCATCAACTTTGCATCATGCTTTTATGTTTTATTTTGTATCAAAAGGTAGAAAATATTACACATTTTATAAAATAAAATAAGATTAATACTGTCTTTAGTTAAATATATAGATTTACTGTTATGATTATGACATATACTTAAACTAAAAGAAATCACATGAAAATTTATCCATAGGCTTTATACAAAGTAACTGCAAAAATTTGATAGTCCCTAAAAATATTTCAGTTAGAGTTTGAAAATTGACCATCACTAACTTTTTCTTCTTGGGGTGCTCACCAGGTGTGTGGGCATGTGTGCCCAAGATCCTGAGAGTAAAATGGAGGAGAAGGGACTGTGGGGTAGCCATCCCCTAAGAGGGTGATTTCTCACTTTCTGTCTCTCTGTCTTTCCAGAGAGTGTATGCACCCTATAGCAAAAATCTCTCTCTAAATAAAAGGAAAATATAGAAAAATACGTCATGACTTTTTTTCTTTTTTTAATTAGATTAGTATTTTTTATTTCATTTTCTTTTATACATTTAATCACGTTATTTAGCTTACAAAGTGAATATTTCAACATGTGAACATTTCTCCCTAGTCCAGTTGATAAAACTATAAAATTATCTTCAACAGATAATGCCACATTTCTTTGTCCCATTAATGCTTTACCTCTCTATTTTTCTTTTAAATGTCCTTCTTCAGACTCTACTCTTTCACATATGACTTCTATGATGATCTGATAACTTTCTTTTTTCAATACTCTGCTTTGCCTTCATCACACTCACAAGAGTTATGCATTTCTTTATAATAATAATAAGTAAAGGATAGAAAAGTTGGTCATTAAATGAAAGTCAGGTACAGAACACACCAAGGCCTAAAATACTCCCGTTTCTAATGTCATACTTCATCTTCAACAAAAATATTTATAAGAAAGAAAAATTAATGGAAGATGTTGAGGGTCTTTGATATAATACACATGTATTGTTCAGAAGGACATTATGGACTTGGTGATATTCAATAAAAACCCACCAGTTTCTTTCACCAAAAAAAAATCAGTATTTCAGATTATCAGTGCCCTGGGACTGGGGTGTTTCGCAGCCCAATTGGGGAAGGTAAAGTGTTTCCCTTTCTTAAATGAAGTTAGAAAGAAGCTATGAAAAGGAGAAAATGGGAAAGGACAGCACTCTAATGCCAGGAAAGAGAACTCAGAAATACGAGCACATTTTTTTTTCACTAAGGTTTCTGTCATAAGGGCTGAGGCACTCACTGGAGACAGACAGAGAGAAAGGAAGTGGAGAAACTGCCCCCCAAGGGGAGGTGGCCATGCCACAATTCCTTCCCCATTCTCCTCCTAAAATTTTGGGCATGCATGCACACACACCCAGAATGGTTTCAAACCACCAGGTTAAGGACTCAAAGCATAGTTGAACATGTGGGAGTCCAATGTTTTAACTACCATGCCACCTGCAGACCCTGTGAGCACCACATTTGGAGGGCACTCTTCTGTATCACACAGTTCAATTGATTTTCATCTATTGATACCATCATCACAAAATGTTTTAATTTTAGGGCATTTTAATCATCTTAAATTTGAGGACCACATTTTATACCATTCTCCAGTATGCTCCACATGTAGTAGGAGTTTTGTGCCACCTATTTGTAATTCACCCAATCATTCATTTATTCTATGGCTAAGGACCAAGTGTGTATCAAGTACTGCTATGACTATCCAATGAGCATTTATTGTCATTGTGTGAAAAACCCTGTACTGGACACTGGAGATAGGTAATAAATGTTACTTTGAGAAGTTCATTGATTGGCACCTGCTGTGAGTATTTATAGACTAAATTTCTGAGTTTATATTATAAAGTCTCTTTGACTCTGGTCTCACTTTCACTTTTACACTTTATATGTACAAATTGAGGAGAGGCAATAGTGAAACCATTCTTAGCTAACAGGCTACACAGAATGAGGGAATGGGCCAAATTGGCCCATGGATCATAGATTGCTGACTCTTACTAGAAGTAGAATGAGAAAGAAAATCAGGAATTTGGGAGTGTTCTATCCTTTTGGAGTTTTAGAAATAACTTGAGTAGAATGGGGTTAACTCTTCTTTAAAAGTTTTGTAGAATTCAGAAGTGAAGCCATCAGAAACAGGCTTTTCTTTGTTGGGAAGTTATTTATTATTGATTCAATCTCATTGCTTATTATGGGCCTATTCAGGCTTTCTGACTCAATCTTGGTAGATTATATGTGTCCTGGAATTTGTCCATCTCATCCAGTTTTTCTTGTTTGTTGGCGTATAGTTGTTCATAGTATCTTCTATGATGTTCTGTATTTCTACTATGTCTGTTGTTATATTGTCTGCTTCATTGTGAATTTGATTTATCTGGTTTCTTCCTCTCCTTCTCAATTACTCTAGCAATTGGTGTGTCAATTTTATCTTTTCAAAGAGCCAGCTTTTGGGTTTATTTATGTTCTGTATAGTTCGCTTATTTTCTACTAAACTTTATCTGTTCTTGAATCCTTATTATTTCTTTTCTCCTGGCATTTTTTTCTAGATTTTTTGTTGTTTTTCCAGTTCTCTGAGGCATGATGTTAGGTTGTCCATTTGCCAACTTTACATCTTTTTCTTACATGTACTAATTGCTATGAACTTCCCTCTTATGACTGCTTTTGTGGTGTCCCAAAGATTATGGAAACTCGTGTACTCATTATCATTGGTTTTCATAAATCTTTTGATTTCAGTCTTAATTTCTTCAGTAGTTGTGAAGTCATTCAGGAATAAATTATTTAGTTTCCATGTATTTGTGTATTTTTGAGGGTTTTTCCTGAAATTCATATCAAGTTTAATTCCATCATGGTCAGAGAAGATGCTGGATATATTTCTATGCCTTTGAATCTGTAAAGGCTTATTTTGTGCCCTATCATGCAGTCAATTTTTAAGAAGGTTCCATTTAGGGGTGAAAAGACAAGTATATTTCATGATTTGGGGGTGAAAGTTTCTATAGATGTCTGCAAATTCATTTGATTTATGGTATCATTTAGATCCTTTATCTCTTTGCTTATTTTTTGTCTGAGTGATCTGTCCAAAGGAGATAGTGGGGTGTTGAGAGTGTTGCAGTCTATCACTCCTTTTAGATCTAAAAGTCTTTCCTCTACATATTTGGATGCTCCTGAGCTAGGTGCATAGATACTTAAAAGCATTATACCTTCTTGATGAATTATTCATTTTTCTACTACTTAATACTCTTCTTTGTCTCTTTTTACAGTTTTTGTTTTAAAGCTTATTTTGTCTGAAATTAGTATCATGATTCTAGCTCTTTTTTGGCTCCTGTTTGCATGGAATACCTTTTTCCAGCCCTTTGCTTTTAGTCTGTGTATGTGTTTATCTATGAAATGCATTTCTTGTAGGCATCAGATAGAAAGTTTCTGTTTTTTTTTTTTTAATCCATTCAGCCGATCTATATCTCTTGGAGAATTTAATACATTAATATTCAATGTTATCAGTACTTCTGAACTTGTCCTACCTTTAAGTTGGCCATTCTCTTGACTGTCTTTTTTTTATTCTCTTATTTCTGTCTGTCCCGTCTTTAGTTTTTCCTGGTACAGCTTCTCGTCAGAGTTTCTTGAAGAGTTGGTCTGGTATTGGCAAATTCTTTCAGGTTTTGTTTGGCTGAGCTTTTTATCTTTCTTTTTCCCAAATGAAGGATAATCTTGCCAGATATAATAATCTTGGTTGAAATTGTTTCTCTCTTAACATTTTTGGTATGTCTTCCCATTCTTTCCTTGCTTTCATTGTTTCCATGAAAAGGTGTGGTGTTAGCCTGATGGGATAACCTTTGTAAGTCACTTAATGTTTCTCTCTTGCTAGTTTTAGTATCTTGTCTTTATCTGTGGTTTTGACCAACCTGGCTGTGATGTGCTGTGGAGAGGCTCTTCCAGGGTTGATTCTCTATGGATTCCCTTGTATTTATTGGGTCTGGATGTTTGAATGCTTCTCTAGACTTAGACATTTTTCTTCCAGGATTTCATGGAATAGATTTTCAATGCCCCTATTAGTTTCTTCTCTTTCAGGGATACCAATTATTTGGATGTTTGGATGTTTAATGGAATCTAGTATTTCTTGTACATTATCCCCATTTTTTTATTTTAACTATATTTGGTTTTTTTTTTTTTTTTAGGTCAGAGGTTTTTGTCTTCTATGTCTGAGATCCAATCTTCAGCATGGTCTAATCGGCTTTTAATACTTTAGAGAGCAATTTTGATTTCCTGTATTCAGTCTTCATCTCAAACAGTTCCATTTGATTATTTTTTATGGTGTCCATTTCTTCTTTCAAATCATGGAAGGATTTCCTCATCTCCTGGAGTTCATTGTCTCTTGTCTCTTCCAGCTCATAGAGTTTTGTCACCATGAATGTTCTGAATCCTTTCTCTGACATTTCAATAAATTCTTCAGTTTTTTTAAGAGATGGAGGAGAGTTATTGTATTCTCTTGATGAAGACATATTTCCTGTTTTTTTCAAACTTGATGCTTTTCATGACTTCTAACCATTTGGTGATGTATTCACTTTTGGATAACTCTTTGGAAAATGTTTCTGCAACCAGGAACTAGTTTGCTTTCCTTTTGCTGTGAATTGCTTCTGTGCCAAAGTCTCTCTTCTGATGTGGTTAGAAATTGGTCCCCACAGGAGGAGTTTTTCTTTTTTTTCTTTCTTTTTTTGGAGAGGTTTTTGCTATAGAGCGTGTGCGCTCACCAGACAGACAGAGAGAGAAAGAGAGACAGAAAGTGAGAAATCACCCCTTCCCCAAGGGGGGTGGCCACGCCACAATCCCTTCTCCTCCATTCTCCTCTTGGGATCTAGGGCATGCATACATATGCACCCGGCGGGAGTTTAAGCCACCGGATCTGGGACTTGAGCCACGGTCGACTACGTGGGAGTCCAGCGACATAGCCATTACGCTAACTGCTGGTCCCCGCAGGAGGAGTTTTCTATTCACATTTCTGAAGAGCAGTTTGTCCTTTTTGACTGGTGGTTCATTGCTGAGCGAGGATCCCTGAGAGCCTCATGATGCTAAGATGTTTTAGACTATAATTCTGTTAAATCCCTGTTTGGCTGAGAGGAGGGGGCTCTATGAGGTTGGGAGCTAGGGCTGGGGCTGATGCTCTGCCCTGCCTCAGTTTCCTTGACTGGGCAGGGGGCTGCATATTAACGTGGATTCTGCTTGAGAGCTGAGAGCTACCCTGACCTATGGGGGAAGGAGAAGTAAAGAATTAGCAAAAGAAAGAAGAAAAAAAGGTTTACCTTTTGGCTAAGGGAGGGATGCTGAGGTTGGGAGCTAGGGCTAGAGTTGATGGTCAACCCTGCCTCAGTTTCCCTAACTGGGCAGGAGGCTGCAGATGGAAGTGGACTCTTCTTGCGAGCTGAGAGCTTCCCTGACCTAGGGGGTAACATTGCTATCTCTTTATTGTTTGGTTTCAGGCATTATCTATTGGACTCCTAACATAAAAACAGTCTCCTGCTTTCTTCCTCTGCTTTTACCAAAATGTGCATCTTTTCTATCTCCACACCTCTTTTTGTTCAACATGGTTATGTGAGTGCTTATGAAATTATGATTCTATGTGCTATTTATAAGCGAGCAAATTTCAATCATTTTTTTCTTTTATAGAACACATTTTGCATTTTCTTAGAATTAATTATTGTCCTACTCCTCCCTACTCTCAGTTACTTTGTTTGTCTGTTTGGAGAGGTTTTTGCTAGAGGGCATGTGCACTCACTAGAAAGACAAAGAGAGTTAG